AATATATATATATATATATATATATTAAATATATATATATAATATATATATATATATATATATATATACAGTGGTGTTGTGCTAATATTTTTTTGCCGGAACGCTAAAATTTAAAATCCGGTTCAAAAAATTTGATATATTTCGATAAGACCTCAAAAATGTAATATATTGAGTTATTATATAATTAACTCTATTATATACAGCTAGTCTATACATTAAATTGTACAAGTATGAGGGAGTCATTGAGTACATAATTTATATTCTTCAATGACATTGATTATATTTATTCTGGTATTATTTGTATTCATTAATACCTACATGTATTTATTATGATATAAACGTACTCATAACCTAATAATATGATAGATAACCTATTACCTATCATACTATATTATATTAATCTATATCATAGATAGATATCTATTATCTATCATACCGTGAGATACCTATACCGTCATTACTTATTATATACCTACATACTTTTACTTCTTATAAATACTACTGTCTAATTTGTATATTCACCTATATATATAGGTTTACCTTACGCCATATGTATATCTCTACCTATTATATATATATCTATTGTCTATACCGGGAATGAACCCGGACCTCCGCGGGAAGTCGCGCACCTTAACCACTACCCTATCGGGTACCCCCATTAATAATATAATATGGGACGCACTGTTGTTTCCGCGGGTCATTTTCTAATTAATTAGATAATTAATACTGAGGTGGCCACGACGACACCGAAAAAAGACGGTTGATTGTAGCGTTACGGGTGTAGTGGCTAAGGTCGTCGCGTTCACGCGGCGGACCCGGGTTCGATTCTCGGTAGGTTAATGTAGCGTGTAAAAAAAATATAGGTAATAGGATAAATAGTAGATATAGGTTAGGTGTATTCGGTATACAATGTAGGGATTTGAGAGTATGCGATGAAATATAACGCATGGTGGTATAGATGTAAGGCATGTAGTATAGAATGCAACGTATAGGCATACGTAAGACTATAGAAATAGACGAATAGGAACCTATGATGTAGGTGTTAGCGTATAAGAAATGCGAATTTATATAAGATTATAAGATAAGATGAGATAAGAATTATAAGATAAGATATAAGATTTAATTTATGAAATTATTTTTTCTATAAGAAATTTTATCGCGGTATTAAATATCTAAAATATCCGTTAAGGGCGTCGATTACACCTTACTGCTGCCCTTGCCGTTATCACTTCATAAAAAATTA